AGTGAGGACTTGTGTCTAAGCAAACAGGCTCTGCCGAAAGAGTACATAAAGTGTGTGTGGCTTCCTTGGCTGTAGTTAATTGCTGTTCATTTATTATTTGGCAGTGGGTTTTTTTGAGATGCTCTTATCAATAATGTTTTCTCTATTTGCCTTGCAATAGGAAGACTATCTAGGAATAAGTCCCCTCATGTTCCTCCTAAGACAATTTTTGTTGAATCAATAGTGAAACAATTCAAAGAATTATCTCTACTATCAGGGATGACTTTAAAAGTAGTGCTAGGCTTCAACTCCCTTCTTTCCTGCACAGCTATTTTTTGTTTTATTTTTGTCTTTTATTTGATACTGTAGTCTCACAAAATGAAACTTCTATGCATGATGCAACTTGCTATAAATGAGAATATATTGAAAGGCTTAGATTTCTGTCTAGGAAAATATTAGCTTTTTTTTTTTTTTTTTTTTTTTTACTAAGGGAGTGGCTGTTCAAAATTCAAATTCTTTCATCTTAAAGCAGTTTCCAGTATACTTTCACTTGCCTATTGCCTATTGCCCAAGTTTCAGGAAAGTGCACTCCCTACTCTCCAGCAGCACACCACTTATCAAGAGAGGGCCAGGATGTCCTGCATGACTCTGGTCCTGACCCCAGAACAGGTTGTGTCCTGAGTAGAGGGCTGCAGCCCACTGGGCCAGCTGCTTCAGTCAGCTACTTCTTCCCCTTCTCCCAGGATTTTAAATGTTCCCAGAAAATTTTCCAGAGATAATTTTAAAACTCTTTTTTCTCTTCAAATCACCCAATCCCCTCCAAACTGGACCTGCCTGTGCAGTTTGGAGCTGAAAGGGTCTGCTGCTTCTGACTTCAACAGCAGCCAGCCCATTTCACAGTGGGAATGCAGGGAGAAGTTTCCGCTTGGGCACAGGACCACTACCTTCCTGACCATGTTCTCACCATGGTGGTAAGGAGTCCCTTGCTCTGTCAGCCTTACCTGTGTTTTCACACAGCGGTTCAGTGACAGCAGGTAGGGGGGCTACTAGCCTGGTAGTTAAGGTACTCCCAGGCCTGAGAAATGGAGATTTGACCTCCTTAAAGTAATTTAAACCAGATCTACTGCTTCACAGGCAACTTCTGTGCTTATCACTGGGCTGTTGTAAGAAAAGTAAGGCATAACTTGACCATTAAAACCAGTGCAAATGTTGTTTTACTTGGAAAAGTAGTACTTGTAATGTGTAACATTCTCAGAGCACCTCTGTTCAGCTGGGTCACTTCAGAAATTAGGTAAGGAATATGTCTAATTTTGGCCTTTGGATTTAAGCATTTTAAACTGGCACCAATTTTTCTCCATTGATTGCAAGAGGAAATTCACCATATAACTTTGATCCCTGAATTTTACCTTTATTATATCTTTAGAATAGAGAGTGGGACTAACCCCTCTGGACTCTGAATCCCACTTAAGGAGCTGGTACACTGGTGAGACTGGGGTCATTAAGAATTTGCATAGAAACAGAATTGTGAGTGCCTGGAAAATGTCTCAGGCCAGTGGAGAACAGTGCCTTCAGCGTTTCTTTTCAGGCGATCTGAGTGTGGAGCAAACAAGCCAGAAAAGGTTGGATTGAAAATCTGACCATAGCTAGGAAATGATATAAAGTCTTCCTACTTGATAAAGATTTCCCACCATAAACAGAATGCCATTCATATCATTTGTTATTCTCTCACAACTGCCAAAACTTTCAGAAAAAACCCTAAAAATGGACCAGCAATACCTAACAATTCTATTGCCTGTCTGTGCTATGTAGAAGCTGAAATGGGGTGACAGCTACTGGCATGCTGACTCCATGTAGGAGTTTGCATCTGACAGACTGTTTTAGGTAGAAGACATTCAGACACTGTAAAATAAGCAGTTGTGTAGAAGCTTTGAGTGATGATTCTACCTTTGTATAGGTGCCTACTTAAAAGCATCTGGACACCCTTCAACTAAAAGAGCCCTGCTGTTGTCCTGTGCACTCTGAAGGTTTCATTTCATGCTACTTGTGTCTTATTTAGACTGTGGGAGGCACTAGATGTAGTGCTTAGTCAGGATGGTAAGTTTTAGGATGGATCTGGAAAGCACATACATGGCAAAATGTGGAAAAGTATATGTTCTTGCAAAATGTCAGGATTATCTACTAGTAATTTTAATGTAGAACAATAATAGTAGTAGTAGTAGTAGTAATAATAATAATAACAACAGTAATAACAATAATAATAATAATAATAATATCAACAACAACATACCACCACCAGTAGCAACAATAATAAAAATAATAACAATAATAAAAATAATATAAAGAGTAGCCCCTTCCCAGTATGTGTAGACTTGAAGCTGAAATGAGTGGGAAGCCTTTCAGAGTAAAGCAAGCGACCCAGATGGAACTACTTGCTAGCTATCAGGCCATCAGTCCCTAAAGTATTCTAAACATTCACTGAAGGCAACAGGAAGTTCTGGTCCAAGTCAGTAACCTTGAAAACAAAGATGTGTGCAAAATGCACTTACTGTATTACTATAATATTAGTGCATGCCTCTGTTATTTAACTGTGCACCACCCACCATGAGGTAAAATATCTGTATTGATTACAACTTGGCAGTAAGTGCTGTTGTTACTGTTGCTATGGTTCACTTCCCACTATATAGCATCATGCCACTTACACTCTTAATTAAATACATTTCTCCAAGTGAGTTCTGATTGCAAGGATAAGACAAAGGTTGATGCATTAAACTGGTCTAGGGTGATTACTTACATTCTCCATGCCATTAGCATTAGTGTTTTCCATGTCAATCTGGTAAAACCCACAAAAATTAATGATTCTCTTCAGGAAAAATATTTCTGATATTCGTCTTTTGTTTGTTTGTTTGTTTTTTCTTAATCAATTTCAGGGCCATCAGCAGCCTTTACTGTTTCTTTCCTCCTTTACAATTATTTAAAAGAAGACCTTTTTTCTGTTTACAGGCATCGGTATTACTAGGTTGTCTGAATTATTCTCATACCTTGATAAAAGTACAAAGTTCTCAGAAAAAACTAGTCCATTTACTAAGGTTCTTAAATTATGGAGCCTATTCTGAGGACATAAAAAAAATTATATAAGAAAACCATGAAACACCTAAGACAATAAACCAGATTACAGGCAGTATAACTATTAAAAGATGAATGGCTGTAATAGTGCTTCAAACTGAGGCATTCAAGCACTGTTTAAAAAAGGTTTGACATTGTCTGCTTATTCATCTGTCTTAGCTCTGGGTAACAGTTTTCAGACAGAAAATGTCTGGAAATAAAGATCTGGAAAAATTATAGATGTTGGTGAGATCAGGTGAAGTCAGGAAAAGGTTATTTACCCAGTCCTTCACTGACAGTGAAGAGCTGCATTGTCAAGGTCTGGAATACAGTTTAAGTTTAAAGATGCTCACTGATATTACCTCATTTAAACATCAGTTTTGGGAACAAAGACAGCTCTCAAAAGCCAAAGATTATATCATTTTTCTAGTGTAGAAAAAGCCCTCGTGTTCTGTTGCAAAGAACTAACAACTGGAGCCAGAGTCAGAACATTTTCAACAAAATGTATCTTCATCTAGACATACCATTTCACTAGAGTGAAATTTGTTTTGAAGAGATCTATCAGTTGCAAGAAATGTGTTCACAGGAAAGTTTAAAAGGTCATGGTTCCTCTAGCCATTTCCAACAAGAAGTGAGAGAGAACCAGACTGAAAACTTGACATGTGCTAGCCAAGGACAGGTATTTTGAGGCAATTCTGTTAGTAAATATATATTTTATTCCAGAACTGAAGTTTCAGAAAAAAACATTTAACAGAATTTGGTTTTGCCAGCTTGTTCTACTAATACTTATAGATGTTTGGATTATATGGCAATGAAGGGCCAAAGCAGATGGGAACCTTATGTTGGAGTGCCCACAGAGTGTATGGGAGAAAGATGGTGGCTAGGCAAAGGGCAGAAAGGTCAAACAGCATCCCTGTAGACTGGCTTATGGTTCCTCATTAACCCATATTAACCAACTAATAAGGGTGTAGGTATGTACTCTAAAAGGCAATCTCATACCATCCCTATTTGAAAGTCGATTTGTGGGGTGGGTCTCTACCATCTTCTTACGATACAACCACTGCTATGACCTTCTGATGCATGACATACGTCTTACTGAAGGGAGTCCTACTTGTTAAGACCCCTTACTGATCCTGTAACATCAGATCTGCTGCTACTCTATTTTCATCCCACAAAATCAGTCTCTGAATTAAAAACTCAAAATAAAATGGTTCAACAATGTAATTTTCGCCTTTTTGTTGCACCTGAATTCCTTATGCAACCAGTGTCTCATACTTTCCACTGGTACCACCCTGTCATTCCCTACAGTCTTCTCACAACCATTGTATTCCTTGTCCGTAATAATCTTCTCGAAACAGAACCAATACAAAAACATAGAAATACAATAAAACACTAAAAAAATAATTTAATTAGGATGTAGATAAAATAAGATTTTCAGAATTAACTAGTAGCCCTCTATCCTACGGGAGGAACAGAAAGCTTGCTTTTTGCAAAGTGGATTGCTCTTTTTTGTTAACATAGAAAGAAAGAAAATAGCCTAGAAAACAAAATGACAATTAGCATAAGAAAGATTATTTCACCAGGAGATAGGAGTTCCAGACAGTTGCCATCTGTTTATAAAATATATATAGTTAATAAAAAACAATAACTTGTTTTGAAAAGGGGGGGAAAAAAAGCAACATTTTAAAAAGTGGAAAGAAAAATATACGAAAATAAAAATGTACTTGTAGTTTCTAACAAGAATCTTTTACCTGGCAAATGAACCAAAACTAAATTCCCTCCAGCAAACAGTCATGCAGCTGTCACAAAAATCATTGACACTTACCAAGTCCTACAGGGCAGTTTCCATTCTGCACTGGCCTTTAACAAGGCAAAATACATTAAAGGTCCAGGAGTGTTGAGCTACTGCAGTTGTGAGGCCACAACTATGGAGCAAGGATGGAAAACTAGAGCATCTCTGCTCCTGGCTATGAGTGAACAAGCCACTCTGATGGTCATACAAGGTAGGTCCCTTTTTAACAGACTCTCAGCTGGGAGAAAATGCAGGTATAGGAAGAAGTGGAATAAAGTGAGGGGCATTATTGAGGAGAATGACACTATAAAACAGTGGAAACAATGAGGGGAAAACGTTATTAGAAAACTTTATCACATCATAGATGAAAGTCACAGAAACCTTATCTGAGAGGACGAAGATTAAATGAAGAATTTAAAATGACCATTTTACCTTGCACAGGAACATTAAAGTATACAGTAATATAAAATGTCACAATGAAAGGCAGGATTTCAGATTGTCTAGTCATTCCTAAGGCAAAATAGATTTAAGAATATGAGTAAAATTTCAGAATACTAGACATTCAAAGTATTTCAGCATGCTACATATGGATTCTTTTTTTTGTTTGTTTTTTTAAATTTACCAAAATTAAAGCTCACCTTTCTGAAAAATCTATCTGGTTTCAGATCTGAAAAGCCAAAAATGTGCGTTGGGAACCTGAAAATATTTCTATGATATTGCCTTTGTTTTTTTTTTTTAAAAAGGTACCTTGATTCTTCAGGTTAAAGGCTTTTTTCCAAGTGTAAAATACAGCAAAAGATGGATCCGAAAAGATCTGGTTTCTTCTCAGGTGCAAAATAAAAGAAGAGGTCACAATGAAAGCTAGCTGCTTTTTCACTGGAGCCATGCCACAGAGTTTTCCTACAAACTAACTCTGAAACTTTGGTAAATTACAGAATAACTTTGTAATTAGATCAGCTAAATTAAAAGCTTACACTAGAGTGGTTTAACTGTCTTCAAGGGTTCATCCAAACTGAATCTATGAGATAGGTTTTGTTTAAACCTCAGATCATAAACATACATTTAACAGAAGGTGTAAAACAAAAAGGTTTAGCAGCTCTCAGACAACAAAGTAATCAAGAACAGATGTCCACAGAAATTCAAACAAGAGGAATACTCTTATAAATTATCTGTAGGTAAAATTCTTGAACTATTTAGGCAGTTTCCAGTATTGCTAATAGCCACTGCAATCTTATCCTGTGTTAGCCTTATGAAGGTGTACTTGGTACATTCACTCACTCTACTGCTACTTTGTCTTGATATGCTATGACCACAAGTATTTCTCCTTATTTTTGAGCTACCCCACCGGGGGGAAACTGAGATATGCAGGAGTACAAAAGACTTCCCTATTTACTGGGGAAGAATAACATCTCTGCTTCTCTCACAAATGCAGTGAATATCAAGCTGAGAAGTGACACTGAGTATGTTTACCTATTTTGGAACTGCTATGCAGCTTCTATGATCTCCAAAAAAACTTAGCCTCAGTAGTGATCCTGTCACATCATCACATGTTAATCACAACATCACAACTGTAAAATGCAGGGCATTTTAGCAATAAGGGCTTGGGATTTGGGAAGTGTCTGCATGAAGCTGAATGTTTGTAACCATATCCTAGCATAACCTCTGATTAAGGGTGCTGGAGGGACCTTTCCTGACTCTGTAAACACTAAGTCTGTAATTGCATGCATGGCATCACTTTTCAAGGCTTTCAGGCAGCAGGATTTTGCAGAGACTTAATCCACTAAACCGTTTTTACTTCATGTGTAGAAACCTGATTGCGCTTCAGAAACAAAATAGTCTAAAAGATGCACATTTTTGTATGTACAGCAAATCTGAATCATTTGATTTTTCTTATAGCTCCTGGGCATCACTGAGCACAGCCCTTTGGGACAATATACAATCATAGGGATGAAAGACTCGCTACATTTCCTGTTTTAAGATTCCCTCAGGGGAGCAGACATTTTGCAGCTGAAATAAAATCAAGTGATGTCAGCACCTTGACTTCTGTGCTTCACTAGAAGAATATATGCATAGCAGCTTGATTCAACATCAAAGATGGGTTAGAAAAGCCATTACTCACTGTCACATTCCTGATGAATATGAAGAACTGCACTGAAGTCACAGGAGCAGTCTGTGTTCCCATAGTAATACTGTCACCTCTACTTTGCCTGACAAAACTCACCTCTGTTTGCCAGTCAAGTGACTGAAGGTTTAATTGTTTTCCTGTATGTGAAAAGTTTCTCTGTGCATGTGGTCATTGTACCCATCACCACATGGCCTCAGCCACAGAAACTTCTTCACATGATAAACATATATTTTTAGGCACTTCTCTCAACTTCAACTCTGAACACGGTGCAGAGGTGACTATGGGGTAAATATGTTTTACAAATGTCTTTAAGATGACCTTTCGCTCAACTTCTCTATCTTAGAAATCTTCCCCGAACAACACTGTGAGGTAGCTGATCATGTAAATCTCATGTATGGCCTCACCACCCTACTGCCCCTTTTTCCCATGCCACCCAAATGTAGAATGAAAGAAATTAGGTATTTCTCTGGCATCATTGGTGTCCCTGAGAACATCTTAAGCTGTGTTGATCCTGCTATTGCCAATTCATTTACATGATGTAAAACTGCTCTAACTCAACAGAGGATTTTGCTATTTATCTTAATGCTGCTACAAAGAAATGCAGAATAAATTCTTCACAGTATGACAGGGGTTAAGGACTGGAACTAGTTGTGCAGAGAGGCTCTGGATCTACATCCTTAGAGATTTTACAGGATAAGGCCTTGGGCAACCCAAGTTGACTTAGCAGTTAACTCTGCTCTGAGCAGTGGTCTGCACTGAGTGTCACCCAGATGTCCCCTTCAAGCTAGATTGTGCTATTGTTCTGATTTTTAAAGCAGCATTTGCCAACTGAAGTGTGTTAATCTGGTTCCTGCTGTGCAAAGGGAGTGAAGTATTTATTTTCAACGTGAAGTAGTATTCACATGATACTCACTGTGACCTCAATACTTCCCTGATGTAACAGTACTATCCCAAATAACAATCATCAGAGTAAGACAATGTTTTAATGGGTCCAACTTACCTGTGAAACTGAAAGGAACCCAACTGTACAGTGACAACTACAGCAAATAAAGTTGCCATGAAAACTCACTCTAGTAGAAATTTGCAAAGGTCATTTAATCCTAGAGAAGGGTTTTAATCCTAAAGAAGCTGGCGACCACAGCCTGTAAAGACCGAACTCTTACTGTCCGAGGGATTGTGAAGTTCTCAGTGGAAAGTAAAACTTCCTAATTTTGGGATGGTGTTACATTTATGAAGAGGTGAAAACAGCATAGTACATTTCCCTGTAACAGCTTAGATCCATTTTTGTGCATAGTGAGAAAAAAATTTTGTGACACTAAGTGTGACTATCTGAGAAATAGGGTGTATTTTTTTCCACACGCAGCAGTTATCAGCACAGCTATGTTTAACAGAAGCCAGAACTGGTAGGAAACAGTTTGAAAACAACCTTTTCTGAAGAGCTGAACATTATTATTGTTTATTGCTTAAGTTCTGGTAGCTATCAAAATATTTTCACTTAAGACAGTTCTTGGCATGCAAAGTTTACAGCCTGAGAAAAGTCATGCACAAAGTACAGGAGAGATGAGTAAAGATTACAGTCATTTGCTTGCATTTGAACAGTGAACTTTCACCATTAAAGTACCAGTAAGTGAATGAAGTAACTGATAGCACCTATTTAGCATCCGAGTAGCAATACCAGTATTATTCTGGACAATGGTACTGGAATAATGATTTATTGCATAAACTCATTAGTCTAAACTTGCATTATGCTCATCCTTTTTGGATGCAACCCCCTCCCTGGGTTATACTAGGTGGAATATATTCCTCTGCAGTTTGCTACCTGAGCTAAGTTTTCTGATATAGCACCTTGCAGCAGCATCACATAGCTGACTCTAACATCCCTCTTGGCTAAGCTTGATATTTCTACCATACAATCTGAGAATAAAAGGCAGCTGAGTTTGTTGATAGATTTTTAGTTCTGCTGCTCATCAGGGTAAACCTTAATTTTGTGAGTTATGTAACGTACTGATACATTCACAAAATCATTTTGGTTTTGACACAGTAGCCTGCAGCTGACGTAGTAGCCTACAGCTTGTGTCTGTCTTCTACTGCATATGAAATTCCACTTGCTTTCGCTAGAGTCCAAATGATTTAGATTAAAATCAGTTTCTCACCTGGGATAGCAATTTTGCTTTTCAATAAACTTAACTAGATCTCTAGAACCCAATATTATAACCTGTTCATGAAAACGTTTAGACAAATGACATTGGGTTCTTTGGATTCTTAAAACATGCCATTTTAAAAAACATTTAGACAGAGTGAATATTGTACTACTCAAGAACTCATGGCATTGAAAGAGTGATTTATCTTTTGGTTTGCCTTGTTCCACCTAATTGCTTACAGTAAGCTTCTTAGCTGCAACTATATTGACATATTCCTTTTGAGAAAGGTTTTTCAGTGTCATATCAGTGACATAGGATTAGATACTTTTCCTAGTGCATTTGATATAAAGAGCTAATGAAGGATTTTTTACAGGCAGTTGGTAAAAAAATCACATGGCTCTGTGAAAATGAAGGGAGTAATACAGTTGCTGAGAGGGGAAATCTATCAAAGGTATGGGGAAGCAGGAGGAAGAAGGAAGGAAATTTATTAGCAACCTTCCCCCATTAGCTTCTGTTTCCTCTTGCTGACCATGACAGTGGCCTGTGTACACCTATCAAATATAAGAGACTGAATGATGCCAGGGCTGGAGCAGGGGAACAGGAAATGGGAGAAAATAAGGTCTAAGAATTTTTTCTATGTGGCACTTATCTGTGGGACTCCACTGGCTGTGTCTGCATGTCTATGCAGCTGCCTAATACCTCTCTGGCAGAGATAGTGTAGTGACTTTGGGTGTGCCTCAGAACCACCACAGGACCCATGTGGAAAGGAGGACCTTTTCCCCATCCCAGATCACGTAAGGGCTGTGTACAACTCCACATGAGGTTCTTGACCTCAGCTGAAAGAGGCTGTGTAGAGTGCAGGCCTAGTCTCATCAAAGTGACCAGGAATGTTCACACTAGCTTAAACTGTAAGAGGCTCTATTTATAGTAAAGTTGTAGTTGGAC